TTTTGAGCTGATCTGCAAATTTTGGTCAGGGTCTAATAATGCCTGATCCATATGCGTCTTGTACATTGTATTTGAGGCATAGTGAGCTCTATTTGAGCATTGTGTTTGGGTCCATAAAAAATCCTCTCCAATTCCAGTCCCGAGTTTTCCAGTCCCCGTATCAAAAGTGCATATTGTGGCTTTGTACCATTGAATGAATGAAGAATGTCCATATAGACCTCGGGTGGAGAATGTCTTTGGGGGCAGAAAACTTCATTATCGAACTTTTAGGCCCCTTAGGTGGGCGGTAATTCTAAGTCAATCATATGGGTACTGAAACTTGTGGCAATTTGGCTGCGTCATTCATTTGCAAGGAAAGAAATTAATCTGAAGTCTGCCGCGACCTCGAAGTCGTCGTAGGGTAGGGTAGGCTACTGCTTAATTTCGGCCCAATTAGTTGGCCAGCAGCTTGCTTGAGATCTGTCAGAGAATGAATGGATCTTTAAGAACATGGAATGGAAGTTGTATCCTTGTCTTTTTTTCCTTTTTTTTTTTTTTTTTTTTCGAGACGAAAACAGTAGTATATCCTAATCTATTTTACACTAGGGGAGGAGATGGACTTAAGGAGGTCCAGAGGTAATTCGGAGGGGACTGAACCACTATCGAACAAAATGAGTGTACTACGCACCCGCCTGAATTTTTTTGAAGCAAAACCACATTTTAATGTGGCAATAACCCTTGTCTCCCACCCCATCAAGCCTTAAAGGCTTGATTGGAACTTGGAAGTCGTATCCTTGTCGATGAGCAAGCAAACGTGCAAATTGAATGAGGTTAGAAATCTGATTCAATTATTAAATTATATTCAATCAAATAAAAGATTAAAAGACGTAAAGTTTATAACCTCTGTGGATTAATATAGGGATAATATCAGAAACCTCCTTGAGGTTTCTCTTAATATCACTTGGCACTCCCTAAAGTTTCAAAAATATCACTTATCTCCTTTATTTTTGTTATTTGTATAACAAAATTTTTAAAAACCCTAAACTACTACCCTTTCACTTGCTAATTAAAAATATTCTTAAACCATTTTGTTCACTTCAAGAGAACCATCACTTCAAAAATAATCTCTTATAGTACTAGCACATCACAATACTATACCCCATAAAATATAAATTTGAAAAATAAAAAAAAAATATTTGAAATGAAATACACTTGCATCAATTTAATTCTATATGTTCAAAATCAATTTCTTATGAATTTTTATTTTTTAAACAACTTCTCAACTCTTTTTAAACTATTAAACTGTACCAATCATTATAAAAATCAACTCAAAACAAACAAATAAATCATACTCCACTTTATCATAATCACAAAAAGTAAAAGGCACATGAAATTTAATTTATTATAATTTACCAATAAAATATTGCATAGTCATCCAAAAAATATGAGTAAGAGAGAATGATAGAGAAAAGGAAAAAAGAAGAAGGTGACTTTTGTTTCCTTTTTTTTTTTTCAATTTTTGAGCTCCATTTATTTGATATGTTGTGAATTATGTGTTAAATGAGGGTTAATATAGTCTTTTTACAATTAGTAGGGGAGGTAAGTGATATTTCTAAAATTTCAAGGGTGCCAAGTGATATTAAGAGAAACCTCAAGGGAGGTTTCTGATATTATCCCCATTAATATATATCTCAAATTTAAGTTCCATCCATTAATTGCAGAGTCGGAAAAAATTCTTTTTTTTTTGAATTCTCACCCACTCCATTGGAAATTCTTCTTTCACCCATTCTTTTTTTTTTTTTCAGTTAAAAAGTTAAATCGATTTTATTTTATTTCTTTCTACCGTCAATACAAAAGGGGCCAGTACCCAATTTCTAACGGAGCTTTTAAACATGGTATTAAACCAACTACTTCAAGAGGAGCTTACCACCAAAAAAACATTAAAACACTACTTGGGTGTAGGTTAAGGGATCAAATCCCTTGCCCTGCATTCTAATATTTACATTTTTCTGGAAAATATTTCGCCAGTTGGTGCATAGGCATCCGTTTGAACCGATAGTGGCTCACCGGGGTTCCTCTTGACTTGTTTAGGTTCCCATCTCCCTAGTGTAAAGTAGGAATTCCTCTTGACCTGTTTAGGCTCCCCTCCCCCTAGTGTAAAGTAGGATTAGTTGTAATATAAAATATATCGTGTGGACGAAAAAAATATATATATTGACTGGGGTTATCTTTTAAGTTCTGTTCTGCTGCTCTTTTCCTGTTACTAGTCCTTCTTCGCATTGACTTCTACTATATATAATTTTCCAAAAGGTGTTTTCACGTATGAAGAAACACCTTGAATACTTTGGGTCGGCTGAATCAAACAGAGGGTGTCGGCTGGAAGGAACCCAAAAAAAAAGGAAAAAGAAAAAGAAAAAAGAGGACCTGTGGCTGTACAGAATTCTAAAAAAAAGGAGGAGAGTTTAGAGGTTGTGAGATGATTAGTTAGTTTAAGCTAACCACTCTACAGCCGAAGGACGTTCACCAGTCACTCACCGCAATGCTTTTGGAAGTTGGGCGACGTTGCTCTGATACCCAAACAACGATTTTTTAATGGATATATATATATATATATATATATATATATATATATATATATATATATTGAAGAAAGCCTTTTGTTAAGCAGAAATTCTTTAACAAAATCGAGCTGATTATGAGATAGAAAAAAGATTTCCAAGTTTTGTATTTTGTGAGATGATTTAGCGTCACAAATAATGATGCCATCATCAGGTGGAGAACATGATGAAAACCGAGCAAGCTGTTAAGAGAGGGTGATTTGTTGAGGTAATTAAAAGGGTCCATCAGTCGAGTCCAATTTTTCAGTATTCTTTCTATTTTCTTTTTCATGGGGATAAATATATTGGAACTTCCTTCGAGCGATCGATTTCAATTTCAATTAGACCAGAATATTAAATAGAGTCCTCATTGAAGTTTTTGTTCTAGTGGATAAGCATGATGAATGAGATAGAAATATCAAATTATCACACGCACAGCCAAGCCCCTTATTGGCCTAGCCCTAGCACATACATACATACATTGTATATCCAACAACTTGTAGGAAAAATATAAATGTTTGATTAGTGATATTTGGTGGCCGCCAAAGCAGTAAGTAACTCTTTTTCTTTTGCCATCATCTCAAGTTACAGGGGATTTTTTTCATGGATATTTTCCGTACAGACTGTTCGCTACGTCGTAGTGTTATGGGATGTAAACAAAATAATATTTTTCAATCATCTTTTTATTTTACATACATTATATAAATACATATATATATTTTTTCTCATATATCCAATACGCACGCCATGAGCTAAACTATTGTACCCATATTCTATGGAGATCGAGTTGGAAACTTGACCCGAAGATAACTCAGCTATTCAAGTAGTAGTTGCATGCACATAATTGCATGATTGCAAATCATGTACCCACAATCAGAAATCATTTTGTTTTTTTTTTTTGGGGCACAAGAAATGAGAAGAGATAAAATAGTAATTAACATTTACCATTTCTAACCTTTCTTATTAGGTGTAATGATGTCCTCATTTCTCGTAATGGCTCAAATTATGATGTAGATCCGCAGCAAGACTTTTTCTTTCGTATTGCCATACAAAGCAAGAAGGCAAGCATCTTCATTTGTCCTGCTAATCAATTTACCAGATCTTTGCTCAATTCCACCTCCTATATCATAATGGCTCCACCAAATATCAGTAGTATATTTTTCCTAAAGTTCGTTTCTTTTCCTTTCCATGAAGTTGCGTTGATGCACAACTTTGAATGGCAATTCTTAGCATCTTTTTTAGTCATTCTTTAGCCACCACTGCCATTTTTCAACAGAACTATCTGTTGTTGATTTTTTTTTTTTTTTTTTTTTGGGGCGGGGAGGCTCCTAGCTAGTCAATTAAAAAAAAACAAGAAAGAAAAACTTCCCAAATCTTTTGTTATTGTTGGGCTCCAAAAAAAGCAGTTGAATTTCCATAGAATATTGCAGATGGAAAATTAGAAATCTAGAGTCTTTATGTAGAAGAATCAGTCCATAATCCATATCCGGAATTTTAGCATAAGCTGTAACTTGTTAACCATTAATTGACACTATATCCAGAGAAAGTATTACATAGAATTCAAACCTAAAAGATCTTTCTCTATATAGCGGACACACTCGATGATGCTACTACTCTAGTATGAGATAACTATTCTATCAAATTGGGCTTAAAAATTTGCACAAAATTAAACCCAACCAAAAAAGAAAGAAGAAGAAGAGGAAGAAGGAATTACAAGTCGTTCAAATGAACCTAAACATTGAACCAAAACAAGAACACAGCCTCCATGAGGATATTCAATGCTCAAGAGTTCACTTCCCACAAAGCGGTCTTCAAAGTTGAAACCAGTACTGAAAAAAGAAAAAAAAAAAAAAACTGCCTCCTCTTTTATGACAATTACAAGTGCCCCTCAAATCCAATTGCCAAATGTACAAATTTTAAAGATTTGACTATGCAAGAGAGAGGCTGAGATGCAACAATATGGACCAAGAAATAATAATTTGATATTTTTCTCTATTGACTAGGAGGGATATTTCAGGAAGTTCAGATAGCAATAACGGCTGAAGATTCGGACCTTTCATGAGGGGTGACCTTGTACACAAGGACAAATCAAAGCATGCTTCAAACAACACACCACAGCAGCAGAATTTATGACTTTGGGCTGTTTCATATTTTTATGACCTTTTCTGCCTTTTCTTCTTCCTTTTTTTTTTTTTTTTCCTTACTTCTGATTTTAATCAAGTTTTAGTATTTTTCTTCATACATTGAAATTTAAAACCCAAAAAAGAAAACGTAAAGATTTTTGGATCCTAAGATCTGTGATCCAAGAAATCTTGGCCGTTTGATTAACAACAAACGAACATTGCTCTATAAACAACACGTGCAGCCCCCGCCCCCTCTTTTGTTTGTTTTTCCTCTCACACATATTTGCTTCCATGCATGGAATTCTCCTCCCACTACAACACACAAAAACGCACAAAAACAACAATACAACTAGCATATATACTTTAGATTAGATAGGGAGAGAGAAAGAAGGGAGAAGAGGAGAGAGAAATTAGAGAGAGTCTTTGGTTTTCTGTTGCAATTGTTTATCTTGATATGGGTTGTGCTATGTTTGTTCATGTTTTCATGGCCGAGTCTGACCCCATCTTTTCAAAGATTTGATTTTTATTTCTTTTTTACCTTGAGTTCTTGAAAATATTTTGCAACATTTAAGTAAAAAGGGTTCTTAAATTTCTGCACATGCGAGAAAGATTACATGAATAAGGAATTTAAAGAGTCTTCCTTTTCTTATTGGCTCCCTGATCTTTCACTTCCCCATAAACTGTCACTTCTCTGACCAGTTTTAATCCTATTCGTATGACTTGTGCGATTGTACCAAGTTAAAGTCCTTTTGATCTGTGCTCAACCCCACCTGCCAGATTTGAGCTTTTCTCAACTTTTGGTTCTTCCTTTGATCTGGGATTTTTGGCCGTTTATCTTTTGGACTGGTTCTTTGATGGGACGAGATCAAGAAATGCAGCATTTTGGCTCTGCGGTTTGAGCTTTCTGATTGTTCATTGACCTTGCTCTGATTGTTGGGTATTTTTGGTTTTGGTTTTTGGAATTGTCGAATTAGTCGAATTCACTTATTCACATACTCCATGGAAGATCAGGAATCGAGGTTCGTGTGCAAATGGTGTAATAAGAAGTACCCTTGTGGGAAATCACTAGGAGGGCACATGAGGTCTCATATCATGGCAATTTCAGCTGAATCAGAGATAAAGGATGAGCCCAACATGAAAAAGTTGCTGTCTTTGAATGGCGGTGAAAAGAGTTTCGATAGAGAGCCAAAGGTTGTTGAACTTGGAGGAGGGGGGCATGCTGGTTCTGGTTATGGACTTAGGGAGAATCCAAAGAAAACATTCAAGGCTGTTGATGCTAACTTCCCTTTGCCTCAAGAGAAGGTCTGCAAGCAATGTGGTAAAGGGTTTCAATCTTTGAAAGCATTATGTGGACACATGGCTTGTCACTCTGATAAAGACAGGGGGGGTTTGAAAGATGATCATTCATGGACAAGTGAGAATCAGAAGCTAGTGATGGATAGTCATTCAGATACTGAAGCTGAGGAGAGACAGCTGAGGAATAGATCGAAGAATAAGAGGTACAAAAGAATAATTATTAAGTCGTCTTCTTTTTCCTTGGCTAATGGTTCATCTTCTGTTTCTGAGATTGATGAGCAAGAACAAGAGGAAGTAGCTATGTGTTTGATGATGTTGTCTAGGGATTCTGGTAATTGGGGTGGGGTGAATTCAGTTGTAGAGTCTTCTGACAACAATTCAGTTGTTTTGGAAACTAAATCGTCTTCAATTGATATGAGAATTGGTAGAATGGAAGGTTTGAAGTTTGTGCACAGTCCAGAGGATGACACTCCTCAAACAAAGCCCAGGAGCTTAAAAAAATCTAGCGGTTTGGATGCTGAGCTTGTTTTTGAGCAGGAGAACTCTGATTCTGGTTACTTTTTAGAGGAAGTTGTGAAGCTTGAATCAGATGCTTCTGTCGATGGATTTCACAGGAAGTGTGGTTTCTTCAAAAGCAGTAAGCCTAAAGCGAGTGTAGGAGCTAGGTGCGAGGAGACTCTTGCTGAAATTAAAAGGGGCTTTAGCAAAATAAAGAGTTATAAAGCAGAACTAAGGAAGGAAATGAGCAGGGAAAACGAACATGATTCTGGAGTAATTTCAAAGATGGGGAAGTACGAAGCAAGAAACAAAAGCAAGGATAGTTCAGATAATCTTGAACTTGTGAATGAATCCCATAGGAAGGCGAGACATGGTTCTTCAGATGCCGACCAATCCAAAAATGCGTACAAGCGGAGCAAATATGAGTGCTTAAACTGTAAGAAGACTTTCAAATCATATCAGGCCCTTGGGGGACATCGACCCTGCCACAAAAGATGTAATGCCTACCTCGAGTCAAGATATGAAACTGGTGAGAACAGCTTAGATGGTGACGATACTCCAAATGATATACCAAGTACAAAGCTCAGAGAATCTTCCAGCAATAGGAATGCAAGTGCTAAAAATTTATATCACAATGCTGAGAAAAAAGTTAAATCCAAGAAAACCAAAGGGCTTGAGTGCCCCTTCTGTCACAGAATTTTTAAAAATGGCCAAGCTCTGGGTGGCCACAAGAGGTCACATTTTATTGGTGGTGGTAGTGCAGTTGTGGAACGTAGTACTCAAACACCAACATTCAAGACAGATGGCCCTGAATTACTTGATCTTAATCTTCCTGCTCCGCTAGAGGATGAGAATGATGGCCAGTTCATATCCTGGTAGGTTGGTAGTATATGAAAGCATCGCCTGCAGGTGGACTGATCTCTAAAACCAGAGGTTTACTTGCTTTGCCCTGGGGACGTTTAGGAGTGTACAGACAGGTTGGTGGATACAATTTTTTATTATGCTCTTTTCCTGATATCAAGGAAGTCTTATAGGTTGCAGTGGCCTTTGTCCTCATCAACTAGAAGAAGCCACCAGTGTTCGCATTTCATTCGATTTTTTGCAGGTTCCAAAAGTACGCAGCTATTTTTTTTCCCCATTCCAGATTAGTCTATTCTTTTGTCTGGTTCGAGCATTTTCTTTTCACCAACATTTTCTATCAGTAATTTTTGGATAGACCTTTTTTTTTTGGGCTATAAGATTCAATTGACTGATATCATGTGGTCATTTTAGTTCATCCGTCTGAAGATGCAGGTTAAGTTCTGGCTTGATTCCTTCAGGTGTCCAAACTTATTTGGAGAAAATCAGAACGGCTTGTTCATCTTAAACTTTAGCCTCTATCTGGTTTTGAAATCATATCAAGTTCATTGCTTGCTTGATATAGATTCACAATTTCACATCCATGGTGCCTACCTGAAATGGAATAAGACAGATGTTTGAGTGCTAGAACTTACCTAACGTTATTATGGAATTCCAATATTGCTTCTCATTTACACGCCAAATAAATGAGGTTTCGCAGTCTCAGCAAACATGTTATGACTTGTGACTACAAAAATTCAGTTAGAGAAATGCAAAACTGGCTGCCTAGTTCTTCTGTTACTTGTTTAAGTTGCTGCAGAAAGTAGTCCTGGGAAAAGTAAATAAATGTAGTTGGATCTTGTTGCTCGCAACACAACCCCCCTCCCCCCTGCCGCAGATTACTAGTGCTGTAGCTTCCTCCTCTGTCAATATAATTCAGCTGATGATTAGAGAACAAAACTTGAAAAGCAAATTTTGAAGGGCTTAAGTAAGAAAACAGGTTTATGATGGAATAGCTCTCTATTGGCATTTGGTTCCTTCCAGTAAAATAGAAGTAGCCTTTGAGGTTAAGGGGGTTGGTAGTTGTGTCCACTACAAGATGTATGAACGTCATTATTTCCCAAATCATGATGAAAGGTGAAAATGTGATCAAGGTTCCAGGTTAAGCATTTTGGTACCGAGTAAACTCAGATCTCATGATAATTCTATGGACACCTAACATCAGATTTGGGTATCCTTCTTCTTGCTGCTATGTGAATCTAAAAAAAAGTTCACAGCTTTAGCTTGACAGAACAAGGTGAAGTTGTATCCTTCCTACCCTTTTAATCTGTCCGCAACTGCTTTTTTTCTTTTTTTTTTTTGGGACTCAACTCAGCATCCACTTCAGTGTCAGCGACACTGGGACATGGAAATGGAAGAGCAACTTTTGCACGTTCAAAATACTATACAGTTGCGAGAATCATGAAAATTGTAGCTTTCCCTTCAAGCCTTTTAACATCGCAAATCCATCATAACAAGATTAATCCATCCTGATGCTATCACACTAGTTTTTTTTTTTTTTTTGCTCCCCCCTACCAATTCTTTTATTAATGGGATCAAGCAAAGGAGTCTGGCGCGTGCAAATATTTTTTTTAAAAAAAAAAAAAAATTAAAGATTGTTTTGAATTAGGATAATTTCCAGAGGCTTGTAGTGGTTTATGCTATTAAAACCAAAAAAAAAAGATTTAGGCTTATATAATGAGATTTATTACCCGTTAAAGCATTAAAATGTGATTGGTTGGTGGTTAGTAAAGGTTAAAAGTGTCAAGTTCAATGGGCAATGAATGGGCATTGGGAATGTTGGTGATGTTTCTCCCACGCTGCTAACTTTAGACTTACATGTCCATTCCATGGTGCTTGAATTACTCTCTTACTTTTCATAGTGCATAAGGAGGACTTGGGAAAGAACAGAAAGGTACGGCCAATAGGCAAAAGTGATCCATTTGGACCATTCTTTTGTACCTTGTTCAATCTTCTTGTTTCACTTCTTCTTCAAGACTTTTGGAACTTGGGCTGACTTTTTGACCTAAAATGGGGGAAAAAAAAAAACTAAGAGTGAAAATTGGAAAAAGAAAAGAAAAAAAAAAAAAAAGGGAAGGTGCCATTGTTGTTAGATTATTGTTAACGGACAGTGGTTATATATCTTTGATTTAGGATTGAATGCCCTTATAAAATAAAATATACTCAGAAAAATTAATTCCTTAATATTGTCTACCATACTTGGTATAGACAGTTCTCTTGATTTCCACTCCTACTTCCGATTATAAATATAGGTTTCTTGCACATTGTTATTGGACAAAGCTCCACATACTCCTCATTACTCTAATATGGATGGGCATCACAACCCTCCTTTTCACGATTGTTTAATCACATTGATGATGTATTATCTTTTAAGTTACTTTTTCCCTTTCAAGATTGTTTTTTCCAACGAGTTTTATTCCCTTTCATTCAAAGAATTACATTCCCTTCTTTTGGCATTTTCTTGAACGAATTGTATTGCAGTTTATTTCAAAACAGTGGCGTATTTCCTTCCCAATAATGTATAATGTTCTCGTCAATGAGATATATTTTCTTTCACTATGTAGTTCTCGACAAGATTCTCCTTTCACACTAGTTTGTTTCACTATTTCAAAATCAATGCTCCCGTGGGGCATTTGTGATTCTTTGGATTTGTTTCGCATTCAATCCCCCCTTTTTTTTTATTGGTGGACATCATTATGGAAATTTATTTTCTTTTCAAAGCCGTGTCAACTTTTAAAGAATCTCACGTACATTTCGCCGTTTGGATTGCTGTTTTGAGGATTTTTTTTGTAGGAAAATACACTGTAACTATTTAATATATGTGAGATAAAAAGTTGATTGACAAATGTGTTTACAAAAAACGTAAAAATTTTTTGACAGAAAATCACAATCCGAACAAGGCATGACGACGATGATATCAGCAAATCAAGCGGATTGGGAAAAAAGGGCGTCCACAGGCAAGGGTATGGGCTTCTTGAGTTGTGGCGAGTCAAGCCTGGACTGGACTAATTAAGGCCTGGATTCATTATAAAGTTAGGCCCAGTAACTGATAGAGGCGGAAAAGCCAAATGGACTGGAGACTTAGTGCACAGTAATTTCCCTTTTTTTTTTTTTTACTTTTTTTTTTGGACAATTTTAACATTACTGCTTCTGTCGCTACAGTACCACGTCCTTCTGCGAAGTTAGTTAGGCCGTTGTACCAGAAAGAGATTGGGGGGCCCATAGACTACTTCGTTGGTCTGACGGATCAGCTACTGGGCTAATCAAGCGGTCTCAATCATGGACCCACTGGAAAGAGAACCGCGTAAACATGGACAACATTTAATGTGGGCCTTCTCTTTTGGGTCACAGTTTTGGAAGCACATGATTGCCCCTACTTGCTTTGCTATTTCCACTTTTGCGCGTTGGTGTGTGTGACCAATTTTTAATTCACATTCAATTCCAAGATTACACATGAATCCTATACTTCCATCACTTTCATAACAGGATCCTCTGTTGGTATCAATCATTTTACATATTAATTTGTGTTTTGTGTAAGTTATACTTCCATAAGTAGATTAATAAACTTACCTTTTGATGCAATAAAGTAGATACATTTTATTTGGCACTTGTATTTTAACAATAGATTTTTTTTTTTTATTGGCTGTCTAATCTTATAAGAATTTATTAATACACTTAAATTACACATAACCTACCCTACGCACACTAATAAATATTATCTTCCTTTCTATTTATACACTTTTCTTAATTAACTTTATTTTTTCTAAAATATAATATTGTTAAATTGACTTGAAGTACGTTAATTAGTGATCAGGAGAGAACTTTTAGCGTTCGTCTTGTGGTTGGATTTAGGATTTGAATTTTGGGATTGGCAATTGGGGTTAGAAAGAGTGTGAAGAGGGGTAAAAAAAAAAAAAAACAATTGAAGTATGTCAATCAAACTAGTTAACTTGGCATGAGCATGGACAACGCTAATATACTTCACCAGTTGTTCAACTGAAGATAAAATTTTAGAACATTTGTCTGAAATGATCTTTGTTATTAAGGCACCAATGGAAACCGATGGAATGCGAGGTGAAAGAGAATGAGAAAAATATATTTTGAACTTTGAAATAAATGATAAAAGAATTTTTATTCGAAATATATATCGGAATTAGTGATATGCAATTGTTCAAGTTAAAGATGCGGGAAATGTAAAACTTTTTTTAACAGCATAAGCTTATTGGTTTGAACTTTCATTCAAAAGACAAAGTGCATACGATTCCGAAAAATTAACAACATATTCACTCTTCGTAATAAAATAATTGGACAAAATCTACACCCAATTCACTTGCCAATACCGGTGAACACTTTTTCGAGAGTACTACAACTGAGCACTTTAAAGCAAATTTTGAAGGGAAAAAAAATTATAGCAGCAAGCAAAATATTTCAAGTGTGAATATAGATTCCAAAGATCTTGAATTACATTTTATGATCTTTTCTTTTTTGGGTGAATTACTGAATTATCTTTCAAGGGGTTAATAGAGGACAATGATATCCTGTTTGAACCACTAAAAACAAATTCTTTATCTTGAGAAGGGCTAAAAAAGCAAAATCCCTGATTCCCCGCCAGAGTCCGAACTTCAAACAGTTTTTTTTTTTTTTAAATAACAAAATATATTTCATTAACGGATTGTTGGAAATCGTCCAGCACGATTGATATACACCTTTGCCTTAATGGCAGATAAAACATGCACTAAAATTATAGATCTGCAATTTAACAGACACAAAAGACTTGAGAAATTAAGAAAAGATTTAAAAAATACTATCAATTTTAAAATCATCTTCTCATAGAATAAATCGCTGCAGCCCATTCTGTGCATGCTACAATTGTCACATATATTAATCAACAGTTGTGAGTTCCAATAAAGATGATGAGATTTGCCAATATAGACCCAAATCTGAAGTAAGTTCAAATTTAAACAACAAAACAAGGAAAAATAACATAAAATCTCAATTGGAACTCTTAGGGGAACAAAAATTCTCATTAGGAATCCTAGGAGAAACAGAGATCTTCCATTTAAAAAAGGGAAAAATGCACTTTTCATCCCTAATGTTTAAGGTGTTAACCAATTTCATCCCTAATGTTTAAGGTGTTAACCAATTTCATCCCTAAAGTTTCATGCAAAACACATTTTATCCTTGTAATTTTATAATTTTGATTAATTGCATCCTTCAAGTTTTACGCAAACACATTTCATCCTCATAATTTCCTAAATTTGGCTAATTGAGGACAATTGGTAGATTGTCAAGCAATTTGAATGGGATAGCGTCACTTGATCACGGCATGCCTATTAGGTAAAAAAAAAAAATTGGATCAATAAAAAGCTCAAAAATCTTTTCTTAATTCACTTTCTCATTTTAATACAAAAAGGACTAAGAAATTTTTAGCCACGATTACTTTCTTTTTAATCACAATCGAACAAGAAAATCCAAAGAAAATGAAGTCAGCGGGAAAGAAACAGTCCCACTATAGCCAATTGAAGAAAAATGTCAAACAGACCCAATACAACTAATTGGAGAAAAATATTAATGCAA